GAGCAATGCGCGAATAAATTTATACAAAGGATATCGCATATAAAAATACCCCTAAGAATCGAAAGTACGTGATCAATTGAGCCCTCTGACTTGACCTGTTCCACTTTTCTTTTGTACTCTGTGATAGTAAAGCGATATTCCTAGTCCAACGCGTATCGTAGTCGAGCTCTACTTACTTTATCCAGTTGGCTAACCAAAGCGGAACCTATATTACTTTCTCATTTTTTTCATCTAATTCTCTTCATATCTCTCTGATGCGCTATTACACATTGCTTTATAAATAGTGCATTGTTTATTGCATATATTAGAAGAATATCATATGTACTATTTATCTTATTTATTATTATCGTAGAAATTAATATATGTATATGTAATATTATTTATTAGATATATAGAGAGATTTTTCATTCACATCATAGGAATGAATCAAATAATAATAAAATCAAATAAAAGCGAGTTAAAATCAATTTTAACGAACGTTCATGGAATCTTATTGTCAAATATCTTTTTAATCGTTATTACATTGTTCTCAAAAATTCATCTTCGAATTGAATTAACCATTCTGAAATATCATTCTCTGAACTTTCATTATATTATAATTGGACTTAATTAGATCGGTTTAATTGGAAGATCGTATTCAAGATAATCGAGATTCAAGTACCATTTACAATCTTATTCTAAATTTCAAATTAGAGCAATTCAAAATGGAAATTTCAGTGATAATATATTTAAGTTTTATCAGTCTTCTCTCATTTAAATTACGTTAAAAATTAAATAAAAAAAAAAAAACACACATCCAATCTTGTTTCAAATTTACAAAATGGAAATTTAATATTTAAATTTCAGAAATTTACCAAAACACGTAAATTAAATAAAGTAAATGAAAGAAAATGCTTATAATCGAGATTTAATAAATTGAAACCTTCTCTCCCCTGTAATTAATAGAAAAACGAGAGGGAAAAAAAAAAAAGAAGAGAGAAGAGAAAAATTGTTCTTTTTACTAAGAGTCAAAAAGAATCACACATTCGACGCAATTAATAAGAGTGGCGAGTAGCAAGAGTGAAAATAATGAGACTCTTGAACGGTGAAATCCGAAACAAAAGTTCCGATTGCCTGATAGCTCGATCCTGATATACCTTCACCCTGGAGTTGACATATCGACAGAGAAACATATGATGAAGTAATATTTTTCCAAGTTGTACGTCGTTCCCTACGGCGACAGGATTTCGTTCTTTTGTTACAGAGTTTCATTCCCCCGGTTCATAGCCTTGTCTTAAGCACTCAGAGAGCCCTGCCTCCTCACGATATTACGATTTCCCGTGTTTCCACCCTTTACTGCAGAAAACTTATATTGTTTAAATTGACTGCCACTGTTATTATTGCTTCCTGTTCGACGTATTTGAGTTTCAGTTTTACATAGAAATTCTTCCACCAAGTTATATTACATTTTATCTTTTTCAAGATCGATTTTTAAGATATTCATTGAAAATATTTTTCATTTATTTCCACGATGTTTCAATTTATTTTAATAATTGATTTTAAAAATTTCCTTTATCGAATTTTGACCGACAAATATTCTCGACTCAACGAAATCTATTATTTCTATCGTAAATTTGTATTTTTTTTTCTTTTTTTTATAGTTTTATCAAAATATTCTAATTTAATTTAAAAAAAAACCACGTCCATAGAATTTGACACAAATCTGACACAAGTTAAATTCTATTTATTTTTCCTCGCGTTTGGAAAATATTATCGGAAACAATTCAACAATTTTGTTAATTTCTTCATTGAAGATATTCTACTTTAAAAGCTTTCTCGATCGACACAATTTTCGACCGAAGTAAATCCATTATTCCCTCCATCATTTTTCTTCGCGTTCAGTCGATTGAGCAATACTAAATGAATTCCTCTCAAAGAAAGTGAGAAACTTCTTTCAATATCGTATTTACCTCACTGAGATTTTTCACTATGTATATTTTTATATATAAATAAAAAAAAAAAAAGAAAAAATAGAAAGACTATCGAAAAATTTCCACTTATACGAATAAAGGATGAAAATTGCAATTGGTGGGTGAATTTGCGCGATTATGACGGCAAATAAGTCTAGAAATATTCCTGGAATTAAAGCTAGAGCGAATAGAGAACGTCGTATTTTCTTTTCAGACCCTCCAACCAAGCTTGTTCATTCTGATAAGATTGCGCAGTCATCGTTCGCTATTTCACATTTCGGGCCAACAAAAATAACGAAAGAGGAAAATCCATCAGGGTGAAATTACTTTTCCTTTAGGGAATTTAATTTTCACGTTACATATAAAGTATCAGTTAACAGTTGTGCGCCTCTTTTAATTTCCATTGGCCGTGCTTCGAATATTTTTTCCTCTCTTTTGATTTCTTTATTTTCTATTTTTCGTTGATGAAAACGACGAGGAAATTTTTACGACTAGTGTATCTCGCAATTTCGGTATTGCATTTACCTTCTGTACAAGTTTTATTTTTACCATTCAGTATATTAGATTGACAAATATCGAAATTAAATGTAAATCATATATCGAATGTTAACAAGGTTTATACGTTGATAAAATTTTCAAGAATTATCAAGAATCATAAATAATTCGAATGTTAATTTAATTTGATAATAAAAATAACTTTAAATTTGAAGTAATATACAAGTATACAGAATATTATAAAAATTTATTTCATTCCTTTTAATTTTGCAATCTCAATAAATTTTAATTAATTAACTTAATGAACAAGTTGCATTTGAAGAAAATGTCATTACACATTTTCTTGAGTATTATTATATATTTATCAAATAATATATTACTTTGAATGAAATCAAGTAAAGGAGAAATAAAATATATTTATCTGTGATATGTCAGAAACTTACCTGAAAATCTTGAGGTGACGGTGATGATTCCTTCTGATGTTGGCTTGGACTCTGAGGGGGGCTGGGAGCGGATCTGGGGCTTTGGGGTCGGGTTCCCAACTCGTAAATGTTGATCATGTGAGCTGCCTGGGCGTGAACCATCAATTCCCATGCTGAAGGGAACGATACCTTGCAGAGAACGCATAGCAGAGCTGTTGTAGAATCTCCTTGGAACATAAACATGAAAGTATTATATTTGGTAATAATTTACACATGTGCTGTTTGTCAAAAGTCAGCATGTATATTTGTGTGTGTGTGTGTGTGTGTGGCTTTAAATCTTTTTAAAAATACATACATAAAAAAAAAAATCTAAAAATATAATAATAAGATGTAAGTCTTAAGACTTAATTACAATAGCTTTTAATTTAGAAAATGAAATATTATTACTAGCTATTCATTTAAGATAAAAATATAAATAATTTCAAAGTTTGAAAATCAAAATCATAAATTTTTATCCAAATTTAATATTTTTTTTTAATTTTACAAGTATCCTAAGATTTTTTTAAAATCTTATGCTTTTTGCCTGCAAAACTATTACTCTCTATTCTAACCATATAAACCTTGCTCAAAATATCAAATGTCAAATTAAAAAATTATTCTCTTACAAAACTTTTTCTTCCTATAATTCACACGATCCATTACATCACAATTACCTTTTCTTTACCCCTAATATTTCTCAAAGTACTCGATACACGTAAAACAGGAAGAAACAACTTTGCAAAGCATCAGCAGAGGGTAAAGAAAATCCCTTGCAAATTTGTCGAGCAACGACGCTTTCCATCTAACCAAATAGCGGGATTAGCCTTTGAACCGAACGCGGCTGCGAATAAAACTCAAGGATACAATTCCGTTGCTTCAATGGAAAAAGGAAATCGACTCCAAGGGGATCCAAGATTCGAATTTCATTTTTACATTTCGGCCTATTCAACATCGGCGCGATAAGGATAACTTAGAGAAAGAATAGGAGGGGAGGGAGGGGAAAGAGGAAAATAGAGAGGTTGGTATGTGTTTCCAAACAACGGCTCCACCCTCGAATTTCGATGAAAGCTCTAAGTTCTTTTTATTGAAAAATTTCTTAAAGAAATATCTTAGAGAAATGGAGAACGTAGCGGAATTCGCATCAAAGCGATCGTTTTTAACCCGTTTTTGTATGTGTGTATATATATATGTATACGAGGGAAAGAGAGTAGATCTTTCTTTCGAGTACGTACTTGGGGCTGTTCCATTGAAGGTGTGACATTTACATGTGAACCGCAGTTTGCAGTAATTCCGCTTGTGCTCGAGCAACTCGCCCAGATCCGTAAACATCTCCCTGCAATTGCCGCAGATCAGGATATCCGGGTTGCCTGCAACATGGAAATTGCGAATTGGTTTCCATTCACGTTCGATCTTTCTTGTTTAATCGCGTTTTTATCAGATTTTTATTATTTAGAAGGAGGAGGAGTCGATCTTTTTTTGACTTTGATCGTTTTTTTTTTTTAAACTTAAAAGTGTAACAAGTGATAAAGATAGCGAAAAAGTGATAAAGAAAGTGAAAGATAAGATAACTTGGAAGAAATTTAAAATTTAATTTTCGACGATGCAAAATTCGATATATTTAGTTTGATTCAAAGATCTTGTCTTGTGCCATTATTATTTCTTCGTTCCCAATTTGTCTTACAATCTTATTCCGGAATAATTGTACGCCGATCACTTTGAAGTTGAGAATTAATTCGACTTTTGACCGGGAATATTGAAGTATATATCTCCGCTTCTCGTTTTATTAAGGAGAATAATGAAGGATAATTTCTTTCTTCCTTTGCTGTTTGAAATTGAATAGCTAGCTGACGCGATTAGCCACGGTAAAAAGTAAAACTTGTTAGGCACGTTTGAAACGTGAATTAAGTTTCGAACATAATTATCCTCGAATTAATGTTTAAAATATTACCACGGAATGTGTGCTTTTATATTTTAATTATTTGAAATATTATATATATTAAAAAAAAAAAGAGAGAATCGTTTCGACAAAAGATATTAAATATTTACGATATAACGATATAACTAAAAAAAGAAAAAAAATTTTTTTACATTCGATCTCTAGAATCAACATTCCTATATATTTCAATTACTAATTGACATATCGACAGCCTGTGTGTAAATTTAAAGAATTTAGCAATTCTCCAATGAATTAAAAAAGCTATGTGTATATAAAAAGAAACAAAAAAAAAAAAAAAAAATA